CTCAATTATCCGATTATTTTTTAACCATTATTTTTAATAGTAGGAGCCTTTTTTCTATCAAATGAATAATCGAACGAAACATTGTTACACATTTATAGTTCTCTTCATTTGTCTAATGGCCACTATATTCAAAAGTTAACACTCCTTGTTCTTGTTGATGGTGCTTCGAACACTGTTTTTGGGAAGATGATATTGCTACACTCTTTGGTAAAGTAATCTCCTGGGTCCCAAAGCCTTAAGCTTCCAAAGGTTTTCGTGTAAGTATCGAGAGGTATCGCTTAACACATTATTTCATCAATGAACTCTCAAGTAATGGCGAAGCTAATGAGACAATATTGATCTATTCTCATCATTAAGTCTTCAATCCAATTGAGAGGAAAGGCATGCTGTTGAGGAATTGTTTTGATTCCCAAAATCTTGGCCAAGTATGCAGAGATCAAGTTATAAGAATCTTTAAGTCGAAGATGACATTTACTACTTTTTGCTTGACCATCCATGAGGTCAACAATTCCTCAAGCTTAGTAGGTTTGGTTGTCAAAATCAATTAATTAACCTTTGAAATTGCCATCAAGGAAAGGTTTGAATCCAGTTGTTCATCAACTTGAATGTTTGTTCCGAGTCAATAGCAGTAGCAGACGCCTTCCTTTTAACCTCATTCTTGATTTATTTGAAAACATTTTTAGACATATGCATCACTTTATTATTTGTCTAAATTTAGCAATTATCATAATGCATTTTATTTGTAGAAAAGTGGTTGTCATGGAGTTAACTTTGGCAGAACGCATTTGGTGCCTCTTCTTCTTGACAATTTTTTTGCTGCCTTTAGGATGTTCTTTCTTCGAATTTTTATGACAAACACACTTGCTTGATCAGTATCTTTAAAGAGAAAGAGGAGTTCATTGGGGATGCTATAATGCAGCTCAACTAGATGCTTGGTCAAAATTGAGATGTCTTCGAACAAAACATTAGTTTTAAGAGCTGGTCTCTTTGAACTTTGTTTTATATTTTTGCACAGATTTGTCATCATTGTTGCAGCTTGTGGCATTTCATCTCTCGCTAATACCCCATATGATAGAATTCTTGATAGAGCAATTTAATGGATTGTCCCGTGGTAACATTCTGGTACACTCGCTAGACATGAAAGTTCTACTGAGTCTGCGCATATTTGCCAAGTTTATGACGGGCAAACAAAAAATTTTCTTTGAATATATATTATTTGAGATTGCAGTAGGTCTCAAATGATCCGTCAATGTGTAAAGCTTTTTGGCATCAATGGAATATTCATATACGGCATTATAAATTTTGATTTTTATTGTGAATGGCTGATGTGGTCCATCGAATGAAAGCTCAAGATCATCATCTCTTTCATGTTATCTTTTTGTATGTTAGGGTATTTCTCAATTTCTTCTTATATAATGCAAGGTCTTCCTCTAAAATTGTCTTACCTGTAGACCAATTCTTTATTAGCATTGAATTTTTCTTGCTCATCATCTTTATTAGTGAATTTTCTGTGTTATTTTAGACATGTTTTTATCTTGATTTTTTTGATAAAGGGGCTATATTTGAGCCGCCTTGTATCAATTATTACTTTACAGTGATCACTTTTCATCTTAATAAATGATCCATAGTTTTCATCATGAAATTTTTACATAGTTCATGTTTACATGCTTAATTAAAGATGAATTTTGGTTTGTTTATATATTTTGAGGATAAAATTTTTGTAAGTGGGAAAGATTGTAAACGTCTCATTTTATCTTCTCAAGGGAGTCGAAGAGTGGAAGATGAAGTGAGCAGCCAGGAATGTGGAAGGGGTGATTTGTTCTATAAATGGACGTGTATGAAGGGAGGTGGAGGAAAGATTGGGAGCGGGAAAAGAAGAAGGAAAAGTCGTGTGGTTATCTTATCGAAAAGTTAAGATTCCAATTAGAACGTCGAGGGCTTTGATGTGAAGGAGGGCATGCTTTTAGGGCAAGTGATGAAGTGAAGATGCCAATGCTCAATGCGAGTACCGTGAGGAAGAAGAAGTCGTCTCAAGCCTTAGCCGATCAAAGGAAGAAGAGAGGAGCTCTCGTGCCTGCAGGTAGGAGACAGATCTTGCGAGCAGAGGAAGAATGATCTTTGCATGCGGGAAGGGGAGACTGAACCTTTGAAAGTTAAGGGTTTTAAAATATTAATTTATGAATTTATTATATCATTAATTATTAATTATTAATTAATAATTATAAATTTTAATTAAATCATGATTCAAACTATTGAGGTTTCACTTTTGGATCAAGAAAAGGGTGGAAACAACAATGAAAGATTAGGGTTTAATTTATTTAAGTATTGTTTGTTTATTAAAGCTATGAACTAAAATAATGAATTCAAAGAAATTTATAATAATAATAATAATAATAATAATAATAATAATAATAATAATAATAATAATTTGTTGCATATTATAAATGTACACATATTTATATAAAGTAAATGAAAAGATATAAATTACATAAAGTAATTAAAAAGTCAAATTAGGAAAACCAATTTTTTTATTATCAATATTTTATTAAGTTTAAATTGTTTGAAAGAAATAATTAAATTTATATTATGAAATTAAGATAATAATTAACATAATAACAATAAAATATTTATTATTATAAGATATATCAATGGTAAAGTAAAGATAAGTTACTTTCTAATAATAAGATTAATATCTAATAAATTAATAATAATTTTTTATGCATTTGACATTAGGTTTTCATAAGAGATAAGTGAATAGAATATTTGCCAAGAAAATCATTGATTGAGGTGAGTACTCATAGTCTTAAATTATAGTTTCATTTTTATATCTTTCTTAAACTAGTTGTTTGAATTATTATTCATGCTTTTTGTTTCCTCTATCCTTAAATTTTATCGATCATTTTAATATAAATACTTGTAATCTCATATTATGAAAAATTTTATGCAAAGTCACTATTACATATTGAGTAATATGAAATTGTAAATGATATGAACTGTGTAGATTGACTATATGCATATGCATACTATGATGGAGTCATCTATTTATGGTATTAGCAGGAGATCACTCAGGTACATGTTCACGTAAATGAAGAATGATATTGATATTAAAGTACCTTAACTGGTGTAATTTTTATACGGTGTTCCTGTGACGATTATACAGATATATAAAACATGTTATTGTTATAAATATCGTGAGTAATTGTATTCATAAATTATCAAATATTTTATATTGATTTTTTAAGAGCTTAACATACATGCAAATTTTTTTCTTTTTCATTGTGTTACTGTAGTCTAAGAGTATGAGTATTCACTAGTTTTAGTTAACTCATTGTTATTTTAAATTAACATCTCAAGTTTAATTAAGTGATTTAAAAGACGAACGATAGAATATGAAATTTTTATATAAAAGGTGCGTGCCAATCAATAATGAGGTAAATTAATTGTACTGCTTTAATTTACTTTCTTTAGTGACTCTTTCATTATTTAATCATTAGTTATTAAAAATGATTCTTACCGTCTGTACCCACCTTGGTTAGTTCTAAGCTTCGTACAGTCTGTACCCGCCTTGGTTAGTTTCAAGCTTCGGGCCAGGTTGTGAAAAACTCTTTCACGGATATATTCATTTCTCATTTTGTCTTTTAAGTGTAAAGTTACTCATCCACCTATATTCTCATTTTAGCAACACCTAGTTTTCTTCTCTTTTATAGGCCAACATTCAATTGTGAGCAGAGAAAAATAATTTTTCAAGATGCAATTATGCAAATAGATACTGCTAAGAAATAGGAGATTGATGAGGACAGCTTTACTTTAGAAGCACTAACCACAGGAGGTAAGGTTCCACAATCCTAACAATTTTATCATTCGACAAGCTCCAATCTCACTTTCAAAATGAGAGAAATCAAGAAATTACTAAGAGACAACGAAGAAAACACAAAGATTTAGTATTTAATGTAAACACAAAACTCAATTGGCAAGCAAGTTTTGCCTATCCCTTAAATCTTTTCAAATGGAACAAGGATTTATATCCATGTGAAAGATAATTTATTTTGCAAGAATTCTTAACGGCCACTCGTTATTGAATTCATATCCTCTAAAACCTTGGCATAGTAGAAAATTTATAACGACAAGAACTAAGGTATCTCTTTTGTAACATAATGCCTATGTTGAGGCAACGTAACTTACACTTGCCATTAAAAACTGAGACAGATTTTCCAGCAAGGGTCTGTAATATTTTGTTTGCCATAACTTAACAACACGGAGCATTTTAGATTGTTATAAACCAAATGTTGCCTTTTCAGGCAGACTTTAGGTTTGGCACTTTCAACTAGATCCATAAAACTAACATCGTTAAGATTTCCAAATGATGTAAAATTCATAAATATTTTCAATAAAGGCCACTCAAAATTAAAATTGTTGCCCAAAATGCGTTTGTGCTTCCAACCACCACAGCTTTAGAACTGGTTCTCTGTTTCATTTAATGAGTTGTTGGTCAACAGTTCATGTGCACTGTTGATGACAAAACTCTCACCCATTCCTGATTCTCTTTTGACCTCCCATTCTTTTCATTCTTCAAACTGTTTTAAACAGACTTGTTTAGGCATTTGGAGATTTGTTTTTCAGTTTTTGATCTCCCTTTCTCATGCTTTCCTTTTTGGTTTAATTATTATCCTTTCTATCAGAACTTGCTACTTTTTTAGAAAGCATTGAAAAGAAACCTTTATAATGCATTGTAATCACACGGGATATTTCCTTGTTTCCACGGAAATAATCTTACTTATTCTTTCTTTTTCTCTCCTTGGTATAAAATTTCTTATGTTATTAAGAGCCTAATTCTCTCGCAGTGTACATTTTACTTTCTCTTTGATGGTCTTGTTCATTGTTTTGTCCAGTATTTACAAGAGTGCATTTGCATGCTGCATCATGCCTGTGAATGACGGGCTTTTTTATTAAGCTTTAATTCTTGCTTAGACAATTGTTTCTACTTTTTTTGTCCACAACAGCGGGCAGTTGAGTCTCTGAAATTGGAGTATGCCAATGCACAACTAGAATGCAATGCTGCTGATGAAAGAGCAAAAATACTTGCTTCTGAAGTGATTGGGTTGGAGGAGAAGGTAGTTGGAACTATTTATTATGTACTTGGTTTGTTACCATTTTTTTTTTTAAATTCAAACAACACCATGTACTTAAGACTTTTTTGAGCAAGTAGCAATGCTTTATTTTGTGCTGCATAAATCTTAGCTCTAAATGAAAGAAATTTTACTTTTTGCTGAAGTCGTGCTTTTTGATTATAATAGCTTATCATTCTTGCTTTCTGTTTTCTCCGCTGATTTATTGTAGATTGAAATTCTACGTTAAAATTTACCTGACATGAAATGTAATCTATGAGAAATAGCTGATCCCTTCCTATTATGTATGCTAGTCTTTTTATTGCTCATCTTTTGTTTCCCTACTTTTAGTATTGAATGGCTTATTTTATAAATTAGCAGGGAATCATGTTATTTTTCCATTAAGAACCATTAATTTTGGCCGGATGCATAAGAAAGTCACAAATGCCAAATTGTCTATGGCATTGTTATTAAAAGTGCGATTTAGGGGTGGGGCAAAGTGAAGCAAAGTGAATCAAAACTATGCGTTGGGCTAGCACATCACTTGCCCGTGAAGCTGAACCCTACAGCTAAGTGCATTTGTCGCAGTGCTTCACTGTGTTGTTTTATGGCACTGATTACTTGGCTTTAACTCAAAATGAAATTTGGTTCAGATTTCATGATTTGCTTCATCATCTACAACATTAACTAGGCACAAACATTAGTTTTTTCTCATTAATTCTCATTGTCATTGAGTAATCGCTCCTTTGTTCAACATTCTCTCCTGCTAGAGCTAGTTATTTCTTGGCTGGTCTTCTCTTCATGCTCTTTTACATACTAGTTTTCTTGTACGCTTTTCACTTATTCTTACTGTTGGCTTTAGTAGCTTTTTGCTTACATGCTTTTCTCCAAAAATCTTTCTGGATGTCCCATCTTAATACTCTTTCTCACTTCACGTTGCTTTCGCCATTTGGTCTCCAATTGGTGGCACAATCTCACCAGTATTCTTAATTTTTGTAAGTACAATTTCACCACTACTTATTTTTATTTTAGATTTTTTTTCTTTTTCTTTTTTGCTTTTTGATGGTTGAAAGTTATTGTTATTAAATGCATTATATTTTTAAAAATTATTACATAATGTGGCTGAAGCTTGGCTATTTTATGCACATAATATGTATATATGACACACAAATTGCTCTAGTTTGTAAAGCACCACTTTATTTTGCTCTTTGTGCATTAAAGCAACAAAGAGCTTTTGTGTATCGCACGTTAGTGTTAGAGCTTTAAAAACATTGGTTTGTGCATCATATTCTTATCTTGATCAATTCTTGTAGATTTTTTGTTTATTTTCTAAATAATTATCACATTTTATAACATGATATCTGGTTCTTTTATTACAAAGTTAAACATGAGTAGAATGATTGGATGTTGAGGTACTTTGTTATGGAAGACAATATGATGATAATTTTAAAAAATGGATTTTGATTTCATATTTTTTCTCTTGGTCTTTGATCCATCATTCATTGGTTTATCATATGGCTCATATGTTTATTTCTCTATAATTAACATATATCTTTGATGTCTCTTATGTTCTTGAAGTTGATACTTGAAAAGGAAAGAAAAAAATGGTTGTAAAAAATATTTCTTCTTAAATCATTTTCATCCCTCCTATCTGATGGCTTTAGTTGATAAATTTATGTCAATTATCTCCTTCTGTTAATCTTATTACGTATTTTAAAATTTTAAGTTTATGCACGTTCTTCAATGCAAGCTCAACTTTTGATACTTCCAAGGATATTCACAGAAATCCATTATTTTATTGTTTAATATTTAGGAATACAGATGCATATTATCGTCTAATATAGTAATGACTGATTTATATGGTAGGTATTTTTTTTTTTCACTTTTTGGTTGGATTTTGATGATGTCTGGCAGCTTGTATTAGGTGATTCTTAGTATATGCAAAAGAAATTCATTATAATAATATATATTGAAGTTTTAGTCTTATTTAGTGATGCCTAATTTAGATCCTTTTTTTCTGGTTTCTTTTCGAAGTTTTCCATCAACAATGAAGAATGCATCTTCCTTGATAACATTATATAAAAGTTCAGAATTAAATTTTTTAGTTCACACTTGTCTGGTCCTTTTTTTTAGTCCTTTGATGAAAAACTTTGCGAAATGGGCTCAACTACTATTATCATTGTGTTAATAATATATATTGAAGTTTAGCTTATTTTGTAATGCCTAATCTAAATCCTTTTTTCTCACTTTCATTAAAGTTTTACGATCAACAATGAGGAATACATCTTATATAAAAGTTCAGAGCTAAATTGTCTTATGTCAGACACTTATTTGGTCTATTTTTTTTTTATTACATCGATGGAAGACTCTGTAAACTTGGGCTTAACTTTAGGTTTTGTAACTTATAAATCGAATTTCTTATGACTTGCATATTTGATAGGCGCTCAGGCTGAGGTCAAATGAGCTGAAGCTGGAAAAGCAATCAGAGAACTTTTCTTCTGAGATTGCTTCTTACAAGTATGTTTTGTGAACTTGCTCACTTACCACTTAACTGTCTTTATGCATATTGCTATAACAATTGGCAGTTCCTAAGCTTTCTCCAGCTTCCTTAAGATGCATTTAATGTGTGATAAAAAATGAAGAATGAAAGCTTCACTCTTCTATTTTTACATAATAACATACGACTTATAATAAACTTCACAACCTGTTCTCATGAAGATTGATTATTTTATGTTGAGTCATGCTACTTTCTATTGATGAACATTAAAAAGGTTACCATTAAACTTATATTTCAGACATGATCCAATACTTCCTTGCCGAAACAGATTATATGTACTTTCTAATGAGCATTTAATAACAAAATCTCAATGCTGCTTATCATATAGAGTTAAATACATAAATTTCTGTTAACTGTTGAAACTATTAATTTTGTCTTTGCCCTTTTGGAATGACTATCGGAAGGATCTGTTTGAATAAGCATGTTTTCATGTTTTTTTGTTTTTTTGTTTTTTTGGTTGAAACATGTTCATACTAAGTCAATTTGATTGAATGCTGCATGGTTCTCATGACTGTTATTGAATTTTTTGAGCTTTTGAATTAATCCTTTGCTTTACGTGATTATTTATATATTTTTAGTGTAATGTTGTATTAACGGCTGAATACTTCTGTTTTCAGAAATCACAACTCCTTTATCCAGGTTTTAGCAGTCTGTTCTTTTTAAGTTCTTTCAAATTTTACTATAGGTAAAAGTACATTTGTCAAAACCGTTTTCCAGATAATAGGTAGGGTATAAAGGGGATATTACTACTGAGAATGATGAAATCTTCTTTGTTAGGATTTTTTTGAAATTCTCAACATATTTCATTTCTGTAAAGGATTATTAACCTGTATAAAATCTTCACCAGCCTTGCTTCAAGTGTATCAGGGAGGTTCTATTTTTAAGCCATGGAATCCGTCTTTTTGTAGATGCAGGGTTACGGCTATGTACCACAACCATCTCCCACCCTGCATTACTGGGAGCGCTCTCCCCTGAGACCTAATTGCATTGTGTTGAATTGTAGAGGGTGCTGTAACCATGGTCAGAGGCTGTCTTTCTATTACTATATAAGTGAACTGTTTTTCACACTATCTATGGGTTTGTGCTGAGTGGGTTAGGACTGCTCAGCCTTAATGACATCTCTACACAGAATTTATGAGCCAGCATGGATTAAAGAAGCAAAATGGCCTCTCTAGCACTGCAAACTATAGGCAAGGATGCTTTGTCCCTGCATTGAGGCTTATTGAGATAGCTCAACTGGTGCCATGGAGCCCCGCTGAGTCATGGTATGCGTTTTGCTATGCTCAATAGTGACAAGGATGCTTCATTACTGTAGAGATGTTGCAAATGGTTGCCAGCTGATTATGAATGTGGTTGGTTTGGCCTTGTGCAATAAAGCGACGTGCCCCCGTTAGCTTTCTTTAGAGATAAGGTAGTAGAGTTATTTGGGAGGATTGTCTTTGTGGTAGCTTGTTGGTTTGGTTATTGCCAAATATCCTTGGTTTATTTAAGTGTCCATGGCTATTTTTTTGTTGGGAAATGTGAACTAATGGTGTATTAGTTTTGATTGATATACTAATAATATTAACATTTGATTGGGTGTTAGAACTTGAAAATTAGTGTGAGAAGAAAAGAATTAGAAATAAACAATGTCTTTATTTTGATTGTGAGTAGGGTTGTCAATTTGGCTCGTTGTTCACGAACAACTCGTGTTCGGCTTGTTCGTTAAGCTTAACGAGCCGAACACAAACAAATTTTTAAGCTCGAAATATGAATGAGCCGAACACGAACAAACATTTGTTCGCTCTTGTTCGGCTTGAATTGACTCGAAAAGAAATAAATAAATAAATATACACACATATATAATACATATTCATAAAATTAAATATTACAAATTGTAATTAATTAAAACTTTTTAAAATAAAAAAAATTATCAAATTTTAAGAAATTAAATATTATAAATTATAATATATAACAAATTATTAATAAATATTACTTATATAAATATTATATATTTATATAATATATGTTATATAATTAATATAATATAATATGTAAGTATAAAACTAAAAAAACCCTAACTCGTTACTCCTAAGCCCCGACCGACGACCTCTCTCTCAAATGTTCTTGGGTTCGGCTGCCTCTCCCTCTTCCGACTCTTCTCCTTCCTCTCAAAATCGCGAAACACGCTTGGCCGCAAGAGCTTAGGGTTTGTCGTTTGTATTCGTTGCTCTCCTCCTCTTCCGAGTCCTCTCTTCTCAAAATCGCGAAATGGTTTTGGCGGCGAGAGCTCAGGGTTTGCTCTTCCGCTTCCTCTTCCTAGTCATTTTCTTCTTCCGATTCCTCCAATTTCAAGCCAAACTCGAGCCCGAAAATATTATTCGAGCCGGACACGAACACACCCATCACGAGCCATTTCGAACACGAGCCGATTTCGAACACAAGCCAATATCGAACGAGCCGAACACGAGTCGACCTTGAGCTCGCTCAGGCTCGGCTCGTTTACAGCCCTAATTGTGGTCTATGTTAATGAGGGGAATGAGTTTCCTTTATAAATGGGACTTTGTTTCTTCCCAAAAAACGAGCAAAAGTTGAAAACAAAAGTTTAAGGTTATTGCATACATCTATAACAAGTATTATTTGTCGGCGTTTAAAAAGGAAGGAGTTACGTTTGGGGGTCGCCCGTAAGAAGCGTGAATATTATTCTCTTTGATAGAGTATATATGAGAGTATGCGAGGGAAGGCTTTAGGTGAATGGGTTTTCTTGGGTCAAATGGTTCAAAATTATGAGCATACAGTTAAAAAAAGATTAATTTAAAGGCATGGTTGCTGAGGGATTAATGGATGTAATTTAGTTTGGCATGGAATAAATTACAAAATTTCAATGGATGTTTATTTTTATGTTTTAAATTAACCTCCTTTTTAGTTCTGAATAAAATTTCATGCATCGAAAATAAAAACGACTAACATGATGCTTCATTTCTATATCCTTCCAGACGTAAGGTGTCAGTTTTAGAGAAAGAGCGACAGGATTTCCAGTCCACAATCAATGCCATGCAAGAAGGTAATAATTTCATAGCCTTGGATATTGTGGATTGCTTTTTTTGTATTTCTCTTTTTTTGGGGTTTTTTTTTGTTTTTTTTTATTTTGTGCATCAAAGGTAACATCTTACTGAAAATTTTCTATGCCTTGGCTAACTGAGTTTTAATCCTCTTATACATGCATGGTTATTGCCTTAGTTTATGCTCTCTTTGGACAATCATTTCTCTTGTTTGGATATTGTATGGTTATGTATTCTGGTTTTATTTATTATCTTTTATTTTTATTTTTTTTGCACGTCAATGATAAGTCCTTACTGAAAATTTTCTGTGTTGTTTAACAGAGTTTTAATTCTCTTATACATGCACGGTTATTGCCTTAGTTTATGATCTGTTTGGCTATAATCGTTTCTCTTGTTTGGATATTGCATAGTTATGTTTTTTGGATTCATTTTTTTTCAATTTTAATTTTTTTGTGCGCGCCAAAGATAAAATTTTCTATGCCTTGTTTAACTAAGTTTAATCCTCTTATATATGCATGGTTATTGCCTTAGTTTATTCTCTCTTTGGATAGAATTGTTTCTCTTCTTTGGATATTGCGTAGTTATATTCTCTTACAGTATTAGACGAAGCAAGCAGTACACTGACATGTTACTTCCCTGAAATTTGGCCCATGGTCTTGTTTAATTAGTTAGGAGGTTCATATAGCTATTTAAGAAAACGTAATTTCTCAAGGCATACCTATTAGCTTTACTTTGCCTAATGTACTGAGGGTCTAAAAAATGTAATTAAACCTTCATATATAAGGTTTCTTCTAAAATTGACCAATTCAGGTTTGATTATGATCTTTATTTCTTTATGCAGATTTAATTTGTTGATAATTGAACTCAAAACCTAGGCATATCTCATTCAATTCAATTCATTTAAATTCGATCATATTGGCCACTATGCTGCAATGCCAAAGAAAGTGGTGGAAGTCATCTCTCCTTGACCTCTTCTTAATAAGCTTGCAGCCGCCAATTGTTAAATCAGTCACAAGAAAGTGGCCACAATTGTGCCCTCAATCATCATGCCTTCATTTGTTCATGACATCCCAAAACTGCTATTTAAAACTAAAGAGACAGCGCATGTGTCTATGCACCTCTCTGATTGGCAGGCTCTCCCATCGCTCACACATAACCATCTCTTTTCTGCCGCAATCTTTCTCTCAGGTTCACCACATCTCTGAGCTCTCCCACTATTCCATTCTTCTTCCCTCTCATTCTCTACATTGCTCTCATTTGCTTTTTCTTTGTTGCTTGCTAACCCTCAGTTTCCCTAGTATCCCTACACTAACTGCTATTGTGTTTCCTCTCTTCTCATTGAGTGCTCCACTTTTCCTTCACCCCTCAGTGATGTCCACCATCTTCTCTCCATCACTTGCTTCTTTTCATTCATGTGAAATCCATTTATGGTCTTGATCTCCAGCATACTTGTCTTTCCCTCCTATCATCTCCTTAGCCGCTTAATCTCTGCTCGACAACTCTATATCTAAGACCTCGCAGCCCACCATCCTTCGCAGTTGAACAACCGCCATGAAACCATTTTTATGATATCCATAGCCCTTTCTTCGAGAACCCTTTGCAGCATCACATGGGAAATTCATCTTAATGTGAGTGTCTAAAAACCAAAGGATGGTGACATTGAATGGTGTGGGAGCATCCGAGAGCCCCCTTTCCGTGACACTGCTATGGTGTCATGAATTGCTATAATACCGTATAGAACTGGTTCCGCAGGGAACTGCCCGCCATCCTTGCTACAGTGCTGCGGGATTTTTTTGCTCGAACGGTCCAGAAGGGTTGTTTGACACTTCCTGTTTGTGGATTTTCCTCTTTTTATGGAGCGGAGCCCACTCTTTACCCAAAGACTATATATTTGTTTTTTCTTTAGGTTTAGGCCAATTTTTACATATGCTTCTGTTCATGACAACCATCGGTTGTTGGTGTTTCCCTTGTAGGGTTGTATTTGAAGGCAAGAAGATGCTCCAGTTGTAAATCATTCAAGATGGTTACTATCTCCTAGGGTTTGAGTGGTGCTCCAATTGTAGCTCGATTTCGTGAGGATATTTATTCTTACCCAACTCTTTCACAACCTTTCCAGCTATCCCCCTTGCTGCCGCAGCCCCCCGACAACTCTCCCTTTGCTGTTCCACAGTCCACCGCCCTTCCCTTTTGCTGCCCCTTACTGTTCCAGCCACCCCACTTCGCTGCCCCTCGTTCTACCAACCTTTCACTTCAATTACACTGCTATCCCAAACCTTATGCTTCGCTGCCAATGCAATTTCAGCCCTTCTTTTTGCCTTCCTAACAGCCCACAACCCATTCTAACACCACTCCCCGATCATTTGACCGATCTTCACCACCCTACAAATTGTGCTCTAATGTGTGTTTGTGTCGTATTTGTTGTAATTTTCCTTTCAAGCATGTTTGAATGTAACCACTTATTTGCTTTTTTTATTGTGGTTTGAGTTAACTTCGATATCATTTAGTATCAAAGTTAGTCTAATCGTAGTACTATTCTTGGGTTTATAGTATCCACCATACCCAAACCTATCTCCACCCCCTCCAAAATTTCTTTTCCCACCCTACATCACCATTACACACCTTCAACCTACCCACACCCAAACCCTAATCATGCCTCCGAAATAAGTGTTGGACACTGATAAGGAGTTTACTATAGAAGAGATATATAAGTCCACCGAGTGCTACAACTTGATGAAATTGGGAAATAAAATTTTTCAGAGGGGTCATAAAAATTTCATTTGATTTCCAAGATGAAGAATCACTATCCCAAAATTTGGCATGAAATATTGAAGAAGCCAGAATTTAAAGTAAAGATGAATTTGTCATGTTTTGACGACCACATGAATTCAGATGAGATCAAATGACTTTGAATCTTAGAATGTGCTTTTGAGTGTTGGGGCATCCCACCAGACGAAATGGTGAAAATAGTCGCCAAAAAGTTAAGGAAGAATGCATCTCAGTGATGAGAAAACTTAAAGGTTATTTGACAGTGAGAATGGGAGGGTAAAGTTATTACCAGGTCCAAGATGAAACAGAAGATGCAATGCCAATTCTTACCAACACACTACAGACCTACTGTTCATGCTCCAGCTTCAAAAGTGTCACCGGGCGACTACCACATCTTACAGTTAGAGTACACCAATGGAACATCCAAGCCTACCTCACCTAAGGAGAAACTGATTTACGGTAGAGAACAGGTGGAGCAAGAGTTTTAAATGAGTTAAGTCGAGCTTGAACCACTCTAAACTTGAGCTTGAGCTTGATTAGTTTTATCGAGTTCGAGTTCGAGTTCGAGCTCGAGCTTAAGTCTACTCTACGAGTTCGGCCTACTTGTTTAATATAAAAGAGAAAAAATGATATTAATTTAAACTACCTTTATAATAAGATGATAGATAGAATAAATAATTAAGAGATTAATATGAAATCACCAAATATATCATATAAAAAATATATTTTTTATATTTTTAATACTTTAAAGAAAGTTTTGAAATTTAATATATTTTGAGTATATTTTATATTAATATTTTCTTAAACGAGCCAGCTCTCGAGCTAATGAGCCGATTTAGCTTAACTTGTTAGCTCATCTAGTTTTGTTCACGAGCCACTTATCGAGCCGAGCTCGAGCTGACTCACGAGACGACTTGACTCACATTCTTAGGTGGAGCAAACCAACATTCCTAAACCTGTTCCAGCCAAAAAGAGTTTCAAGTTCTACGATTGGGCATATTGAATTAAATTTAAACACCAGGGAAACAATATCTTTCATGGATCAAGGAGTGGTTGAAAAAATAGACAATGATACTTTAGACACGGAAGAGAGTGAGAACACAAAAGAAAACTACCAGCTGCCAGCCAACGAGGAAGAGTCGATATCGATTTCAGCTGAACCCATGAGAAAAAGTTCAGCTGAGTTGACATTAACTATTTTAGAAGTAGGCAAGTCTATTGTAATAAGCGTTCATGTAGAATATGAGGTTGTGTTGCCTCGAGCTACAATTTTGCATGCGTTTGGAGGAGCATCAACAGGATTGACATTGGATGTCCGAAAGAGCCATGAGTTTGAGAAGCCAATACTAGACACAAAGCAATTTTAGATAAGAAATTTTCATACTTTTCAGATATATATAACATACATCCTGAGTTGTCTATACTTAGGGAGGTTCAACTTGTCAATGTTGAAAAATATTTGAGTTACTTCTAAAAAACAATGGAGTTGTTTAGGTATTACAATCGGTTCAGCGGTGTAACCCAGACAGAGGACAGGATGGATGAATCGAAATGTTGGAGATTACCTCAGGATCTTTGTGGGAAAGAACATTCTACAGGGGAACCTAGGTCCTTCCCGAGAAGATGTTTCTCATGAGTGGTTACACACTAGTGTCGTTCAACCTACCAGAGATGTCATTCCAGAGTTGGCTCCTCCTGACAATCTTGTTTATGAGGCACATTCAGCCGGGTACGAGGAGTGGGAGAAGCAGATTGTATATTTACTTTTTCGGGATTTGGCTCGTGAGAACCTACGTCATTTTCTAGCTTTAGCTCAAATTGTGCCAAAAGTGAATTGATACTTATTATTCGTTGAAATGATAATGCTTCGACATATGAGGTTGAAGCTCCCCCAACATCGAGAGTTGATGCGGGAGCATTTGCGAGTCCCCTTTCCACTGCACTGCTACAGTGCCGCAAATTTCTACATTACTGCATGAATCCGGTCCCGCATATAACACTGCACAATCCTTGCTACAGTGTCGCGGAATTTTTCAGCTCAGACTTGTCTAGGAGGGCCGATTGACATTTTCTCTTCGTTTTCCTTTTTATTTGGAACGAGGCCCACTCCTCTTTACCCAATGACTATATATTTGTTAGTTATGCGTATTTAGGTTTGTTTTTGCATATGTTTTTCTTTAGGACAGTCTTAAACTGCCATTGTTCACCTTATAGTTTTATATTTGAAGGCGAGAAG